TGAACTGTTCAGGACCATATAATATAAATTTAAAGTTTAAAAACAAGACTGTTTATTCAAAACAGGAGGCTTATTTGCAGAAGCTGCTGGGCCTATAACCTGCTTCCAAGTCATGTTTTGTCTTGCAAGGTACAGAAAGTAATGTCAAGTATGTCAACAGCAGTAAAACTTGGTGTTGAGGGTTTGAGATGGCAGTAGTTTTCCTTGCAGACCTAAGTGTTTTGTTTATCCTGTTTTGCTTTCTCTGGGTTGCTGGGAATGTGTTATGTCCTAGGAGTACTTTTTAGTCTGCACGTTACCCAGCAAGAACCTCCTGCTTTACACGTGTGGCACCTTGATCTGTGAGGGCAAGGGGATGTCTTTGCAAAGAAGCAAGGAGAGAGCCTTGAAATTCCTGGAGGTCAAAGCTGGTGGGTATGCTTTGGTAGGGGATGATGCACTGGAGCCAGGGTCTGAACTGCTGTTCAGCCTTGTTGTGGTTCCCTGGAGCTATGGTGTGTGGTGTGCTGTGGGAGAGGGCAAGAAGTCCAGAGGAGGCCATGGAGATGATCTGAGGGCTGGAGCACCTCTCCTACAAAGAGAGGCTGAGAGACTTGGGGTTAATTCAGCCTGGGGAAGGTTCTGGGGAGACCTTAGAGCACTTTCCAGTGCCTGAAGGGGCTCCAGGAAAGCTGGGGAGGGGCTTGGGACAAGGGCAGGGAGGGAGAGGACAGAGAGTAGTGGCCTTAAACTAAAACAGGAAAGGTTTAGATTGGATGCTATGACGAAGTTCTTCAAAATGATGATGGTGCATCACTGGGACAGATTGCCCAGGGAAGCTGTGGCTGCCCCATCATGGAAATGTTGAAGGGCAGGTTGGATGGGGCTTGGAGCAGCCTGGTCTGGTGGGAGGTGTCCCTGCCATGCAGGGGGGTTTGTCCTACATGATCTTTCAGTTCCCTCCCAACGCAAACCATTCCATGATCTATGATCTCTGTGAAGTGATGAGCTGGAAGGTGGATCCAGAGCCATGTCCCATGCTCCAGCTCCTGTCAGGGTCTGCTGTGCATCCTGCAGTCTGGTGTTGCTGGGGCCTCATGGTGCACCCCACTGTGGCAGAACTGGGGCGCCCGGTGTCGGCTTTGCGCTCGGCACTCACTGCAGGTCGTTTTCTCCAACAACTAGTTGCCCATTTGGGGTTTTCCCTTCAAAACAAGGTGCCTTGCACAACCTCTTCTGAAGGGTATTGTCTGTTTTCAGACCTCCATTCCACATTTTCAGGACTGCTGTGAGTTTTAACTCCATCCTCATGCATTTGTGTAGTACCTGCAGACACAATACTCATTCTTCCTTCAGTTTCATAAACGTTTGGGCTTCCACTTTTGAACCACAACATGTGTAATAAGCTTGTCTGATTTAATTGCATTTAATATAAATCAAATTGCTTTTTGTTGTCCTTTGTTTGTTTGTTTGTTTTTTTCCTCAGAGCTTGTCCCAAGTTTATTAAACTGGGTTATCTGAATTATGAAAAACTTACATAAATTTGGTCTGTTCAAGGGACAAAGCTTTTGGCTGTGTGGGTATTCTGAGGAGATAAAAAAGAAGTTTACAAAAATGAAAGACTTCTGTCGGCTGCTTTGCAGATTAAATAATAAAAATTTGGAATGGAGGAAGAAAAGTTAAATTTTTGTTTTCAGCTTAGCTGCCTGCATTGCCACTTCTGAAATCTTCTAGCAGAGAAATATTTCCCCACAGTCCTTGTGTCTTCTTTCTCCAATTCAGTGAACACCTGAGGAGTGGTCACCTAGTTCTTGCAAAGTTTGTGAAAAATATATCCTAAAAATTTGAGAATGAAGTTAAATTTCTAGACCTTTTAATCACTTGTTAGAAGAAACCTGGGCCTTACCCAATTTACTTCCATCCTTATGTAAAATGCACAGCTTGCTCTTTTAAGTATAGCAGGTCTTTCAGGTTAAGTGAAAGAATACAGTGTTCAGCTGACTTGTCTTCCTTCCATGTGTCCAGTCCCTGTCTCAAGCTGTAAACTCTGCCAGTACTGGTGAACAAACTATAAATGGTAGTGGAGTTTTTTTTGTCGTAGCACTTTGTGCAAGTGACACGGACATTTATGAAGACTGACCAATCTCACAAGCAAAAGACAGAGAGATTTCTGAGACAGATGAATTTTGCTTTCTTGATTACTTGTATTTGATGCTAATTACAGAATAATAGCTTCTTAGATTTACTGCAAGCTAATTGTGCTTTCAGAATAAGGTATTTGGATGGCAATAGGCTCTTTTTGTATGTGTGTCTGTGTTTTGTATAGCAGCACACTGAAAAATTTGCTTATGCCAATAAACATTTCAGTGATTCCTCATATTTACATTTTTGTGCTCTAGCAGAGCAGGCACCTTCTGTGCTGAAAGATCAATTCCCCCAAGGAAATCAGGTTTTGTTGTATCTGACTAAACTTAAACCCCAAACTGTTGACATTTGACGTTTGTGCAAGATGCTCCATCCAGAGCTGAGCAAAAGAAAAATGCTTTTAGTACCTGTTGGAGTTGAAATTAATCTTTTATAGCTTTAAGAAGTTACACTCTTCTCATTTGGGTATTGCTGTTTGTTGTATTATTTTTACTTCTTGAAGCAGATGCTCTCCGTGCTTTGTTAGGACCAAACCAGCCAGGAAGCCAGGGCAGTGTCCCCTGTGGTCTGTGCCAGTTGCTCCCCTGTGTTTTGGTAGCTGAGCTTTGCTCTATTTAGGTGCAGGCACTGGAGAAGCAGAATTTATCCCAAAGCAGCCTCCTCAGTGACACGACTGAAATTGCATCAAGATGCTAGAAATAGTGTCTCATTTAAAGTTATGTTCCTAGTTGATGACAAGCTGAGAAGTCCAGATTGAATTTTTTTATGTAAACTTTTCTTTTTTTTCCTTTTAGCTTATTTAAATTCCCAGAGTTGGTCTGCCAAATGAAACGCATGCATTTAGCTTCTACTTGTCAAACGTTGGCAAAGATAATCCTCAGGGAAGCTTTGACTGTGTCCAGCAGATGGATTCAAGGTAAGTTTTCCTTAACGTTCTCTTTCATGGCAAATTCAAGTAGATTCTGTGGCTTTGAGCATATAGTGAAAAACCTGTAGCAGAAGCATGCTCCTAGTGATGAGCTGCAGTAGAAAATTAATTCCTAGCAATACCATGATTTCTTGCTAATTATAAATGCTTGCTTCTACACAGAATTCTTTTGGGTTTTGCTCTTAAAAAAGTAACCTTTTGAGTACTTTCTCACCACTTAGTGCTATTTTTGAAGGCATTTGGAGTTCAAGCTAGACCAGATCCCTTCCTCAACTATAAGTAAATATGATTATGGCTGGCAGCGTGCTAGCCTGCTGGCCATGATGGATAGTTGTCTCATTTTAAGAACCACATGAAAGTGACCTTACCCATAATTGCACGACCATGGTGTTTCAGAACCCAAACGTAACACGGCGGCGCCGTATCCCGGGTCCTTGGAGTCACAGTGAACAGTGCTCAAAAGGCAACAAAATCCTGTGCTGATACAGGAAAGTTTGCTTCAGCTCCTAGAATATGGAGCTCAGCATACTACTGATGTGGTCCAGTGGTGTCGAATAACTGTTTGTTGCATTTGATTAATTAGGGCATGGCAGAGTTTGTGTATTGACCTGGGGAAGCTGATAGCAAACAATGTGTCTCCTAAGGGCACCGCTCGGGTTCTGGGTTACAGCAGAGATTCTGACCTCAAGTTCAAAGCAGAGGTTTCTCTAGGTAGTGGTTTTGAGGAGCAGTAAGGAAATGAGCGGGTTTAACAGTTCTCTAACTAACAGGAGATCTCTCAGCATCCTCATCTTCTTTCTTTCCTTAGCATCTCCTACTACAGTACAGCCTTTCAGTGAACTTCACTGATGGGACTGGGAACAAGCCAAATGGTTTAGTGGCAGACCTGGGGGAGCCTGGGGCAGTGTGGGGCTTTTTGGGGTTTTATTTTATTTTATTAAACTGTCTCTGAAAGGGGCCAGACAGCTGCCCAGGCTGTCACAAAACAAGCAGCAGGACTGCATGCCAGGGGTGAGAGGTCCTGCCTCTGCTTCTGGCCTTCCTCTCCCAAGCATCTTCTTTGGGAAGTTACACCTTCAGTTAAATTGAATGGGATTAATTTCGTAAGTAAGATTAAATTTAAAGCTGCTTTAGCTCTGAATAACTTGCCAAGGCAGTTTTAATGTGGTTTTACTAATCTAGTTCAAAATCTAATTCAGACTGGCTTTCACGAGGTGCTTTGTGCGAAGCGCCTGCAGAGTAAGCGCACAACTTGTGTGGTGTTATACATGGAGTCATCTAGAAAAATAAACCCTGAGAGGGCTTCTGCAGGGCATCTAGTCTTAATTTTGTGCTCAAGGCAGGCCCGGCTTCCAAACTGGCTCAGGTTTTGGAAATGCCCAGCCATAGGATGGGGATTGTGCAGTGTTTTGGTCAGGGTTTGGCTGCTCCTGGGGTGAGAAAGCGCATAAGGGCAGCGACGTTGGAGGGAATGGGCAACAGGTTAAAGCTATGCTTTCAGGAGACAGCAAGGACCTCTTTCTTTCTGTTGTAAATGTCCTGATTTAAGAGCAAGGAATGGGTACATTGCTCTAGGCTTTGGACAAAACTCTAGCTGTATCATCTTGATGTACCAGTCAGTGGCTTGGTCCAGCCTCATGACTTTCAGAAATGACACAGTAAGTTGAGGTGTGAGATTCTTGAACCTTCGTCTTGGAGCCTTGATGGGGAGTTTTAGGGTGGTCCCCCCAGCCCTGCCCAGGCCACCCCTGCCCCGTGTCCCTCAGCACCATCTCCAGGGCTTGGAAACCCCCCCAGGGATGGGGACTCCCCCCCTGCCCTGGGCAGCCTGGGCCAGGCCCTGACAACCCTTGCCAGGCAGGAATTGTTCCCCAAATCCAACCTCAACCTCCCCTGGCACAACTTGAGGCCGTTCCCTCCTGTCCTATCCCTTGTTCCTGGGGAGCAGAGCCCGACCCCCCTGGCTCCAACCCCCTCTCAGCAGCTGCAGAGCCAGAAGGTCTCCCCTCAGCCTTCTTTGCTCCAGGATCAGCACCCCCAGCTCCCTCAGCTGCTCCTCCCAAGTTCTCCAGCCCCTTCTCCTCCTGCTCCAGCCCCTTCCCCAGCTCCGGGGCCCTTCCCTGGACACGCTCCAGCCCCTCCATGTCCTTCTTGTCCTGAGGGGCCCAGACCTGCCCCCAGGACTCCAGGTGCCCCCTCCCCAGTGCCCAGCACAGGGGGATGATCCCTGCCCTGCTCCTGCTGCCCACACTGTTCCTGATGAAGTCTGGGATGCTGGTGGCTGCCTTGCCCACCTGAGCACACACTGGCTCATCTCTAGTCTCTCAACCAACACCCCTCAGGTCTTTTTTGCCCCAGGCACTTTCCAGCCACTTGTCCCAAGACTGCAGCACTGCCTTGGGTTGTTGAGACCCAAGTGCAGGATCCTGGTTGAACCTGTCATGTCCCTGAACCCCGGGGGATGCTGGCAGGTGAAGCACCAACAAACACTTCTCAGCACTGCCAGACTCACAGGGTGGGAGGTGAGGAGGTGGACACCTTGGAAGGCAAGATGAGGGGGCAGTGGGGTGCAGGCTTTGAGGGGAGGCTGCTCAGCCCTTCATGGGGCCACCGTGGACCACCTGAGGCAGAGGAGAGGAGCTGTGCTGGAATGAGAGCTGGGCAGCGGGTGGAAAACCAGCTGCCCGAGTTGTCCCTCTAATTGTCACTGCAGCACGGGCCAGCACAGCCACCAACACTGCCACTCAAACAGGGGGATGTGAGGAAGTTGTCATTACACCAGCAGCTAAAGCTGGAACAACTTGGATCTGTAGAGACAATTGGAAATAACATCCACACCCTGAGCAGCTATCAGAGCTGGAGAGCGGTTTTCCTCACCAGGCAGGTTTTCAACGTTCCTGATACAACCATACTTCTAAACCTGAACTGGTGCTCAGGCTCAACCTTTTTCAATGTTTTTGTAGTTCTGGAGCCTCGCAACTTAGTTGCCTGGGACTTATAAAGAATCAAATTGCAGTATGTCCATCAAGGGATTCGTATCAGACGACCAGAGAGCGCATGACCCAGGCGGAAGAGGAGTCGCGTAATCGAAGTGCAAAGGGTATTAAACCTGGTGGACCATCTGTAGGTATGGTTGTATTTCATTTTCTACTAGATGTCTGTAAGTCTTCAAATTCAGTATTTCATCTTTTCAGCGTGTCCCTCGGGAAGGTGGTTGTGCTCAGAGGATTTGGCTGTAGGTAGCTTGCCCTGACGTTGCAGATTTACATTCTCCTGTTGCTGCGTTCAGATATTAGCCATTTTTCCCCCAGAAATCCTCCCAGTCCTTCCTTGTTCCCACATCACTTGACTGGCTGAAATTTTGACCATGGAGGTGGCAGGTTTTTATCACCCTGTGTCCTTAAATTCTGTGGTTTAGTAGCCAATGATTTGTTTTCATCGTCGCACTTTTGAGTACCCAAATACTGTGATAAACTTACCCTTAATTTCTAATCTGAAAAAATTGACACTGAGGAAGTCTCACGTGTACAAATTTGTAAACTTAATATGAAAAACTTTGCTTTTCACGCTTGCTAATGTGGATTAAGTTGTATTTTGTGTCCTGGTCATTAAGAAGCAAACGTTACCACAGGACAATGGGATTTGTTTTAGTTTAATTTTGGCAACTTTCCATGGTTTTATTAGTTTTCCACAAAACAAAAAGGGTTTAGGTGGTGTCATTCTGGGTAGTTTCCCTGAGAAGCCTGCAAGCTGCACATCATTGCAAGGTGTGAACTTTACACCAAGGGAGCTGGGCAGGAGTTAATACCAGGATGGTGGAGGTGGGACTTCATATTGTCCAAACTGCCTTTTAATGACAGCATGAGAGGAGCCACTTCCATCTGCTTCTCATCATCCTTTCAGGCAGCTGCAGAGGAACGAGGTCTCCCCTCAGCCTCCTCTTCTCCAGGCTGAGCAGCCCCAGCTCCCTCAGCCTCTCCTCACCAGACCTGCTCTCCAGACCCCTCCTCAGCCTGGCTGCCCTTCTCTGCCCCCTCTGCAGCCCCTCCGTGTCCTTCTATCCTGTGGTGCCCAAACCTGCCCCGGTGCTGGAGCTGCAGCCTCAGCAGGGAGCAGAGGGGCAGGATCCCCTCCCTGCTCCTGCTGGCCACACTGCTCCTGATGGAGCCCAGGATGACATTGACCTTCTTGGCCACCTGGGCACACTGGCTCATGTTCAGCTGCTCTCAATCAACCCCCCCAGGTCCTTTTCTCCCAAGCACTTCTCAGCCACTCTTCCCCAAGCCTGGAGTGTTGCCTGGGGTTGTTGTGACCCAAGTGCAGGACCCAGCACTTGGCCTTGTTGAACCTCATACAATTGGCCTTGGCCCATGGATCCAGCCTGTCCAGGACCCTCTGCAGACCCACAGCCCCATGGATCCAGCCTGTCCAGGTCCCTCTGCTGAGCCTTCCCACCTTCTAGCAGATCAGCACTCCCAGCCAGTTTGGTGTTGTCTGCAAACTGACTGAGGGTGCACTCAGTCCCTTCATCCAGATCATGGATAAAGACATTGAGCAAGACTGGTCCCAAAATTGAGCCCTGGGGGACACCACTGGTGACCAGTCACCAACTAGATTTGACCCCATTTACCACAACTTTCTGTTTTTCCAGCCAGCTTCTTACCCAGTGAAGACAGCACTTGTCTATGCCATCCAGGAGATGCTGTGGGAGATGGTGTCCAAGGCCTCAGCAAAGTCGAGGCAGACAACATCCACAGTCTTCCCCTCATCCAATAGGGGCTTGCATGGGCACAGAGATGAGGTTGTTCAAGCAAGACCTCCCTTTCATAAACACACCCTGTTTATCATCCTCTGCTTCCCTGGCTGCCCTGCACTTGGGTCACAGGGGTGACTTTCGAACATGCTTCATGCAGTACAAGTTAGGAGCTGCAGCTTCTAATCACCTTAATGCTTGGTTATGTTTCCAGTTTGCTCTTTGTTTAAACTGTTTTGGAGACATGGCTTCCGGGAGGTGTGTTGTTTGAATCCTGCTTAGACCATCTGGTTTGTTTATCTAGATTGAATTAAACTTGTCAAAAGGCTTGTAAGACATTCCAGCCAGCAAGTTCGTGGTGTTCTAAAAATGTAACCATGTGTGCTTGCAGGGTTGGCTTTTGAAAACCAGAAGGGCAAAGTCCAAGTAACGTGCAAGGTAGAAAGTTTACTGAGGTTTGGCCTCCACTGAAAAATGGAAGCAGGTTTTTGGTGTTCCTGTGGACAAGCTCAGCTCAGTCTTGGTGTCTGACAGCAGAAAGCAAGATCCAGGGCTCATTAAGTCTCCCTCATCATGTACCAAGCATGAGTTGTTAATTGCAGGAAAATGCCTAGTTTCTGTCACATCCTCTGCTGGATTGCAACCAGTATTTGCTGCAATGATTTTCTGTAGTGTTATGTTAATTTATTGAATTTTTTTTTCCTGTACTATAGCAAATGGTATTAAAGAAACAAAATAAAGATAGAAAAGTTTGCATCTTTCTCTGGAGAACAGATTCAGGTTGGGTGGTGGTGTTTTTAAGTTATGGATGCTTCACTTGCACACACTTGTATTGTTCCTCCAGTTGAGAAACTCGTCCTTTCATAGGGTTTGATCTAAAATGCTGTGCAGGCTGTGTTTAAAACCTCTCTGGCCTTGGTCCCAAGGACTGTTTATTCTTGGTGCATTGCTTCTGACAAACTTAGGCCTACTTCAATTGAAAATGTGGTGTAACTTCTGGTAGCTCAGGTGATTAACACTGTAGTGTCTGTGAGCAGTGATGCAATTGATTGTGTAGGATTGGTCTCCCTGGGCATTAATAGGACATATTTTAATTCCATGGAAGATCTTTGCATCACACTTTGGAGTAATCTTCTAAAAGAAATGCCTGATTCTGGGCATTCAGGGCTAGACTTTACAAGCTGGGGAAATCATAAAAGCACCCTCTGTATAAATAACCAGTGAAGTCTTTCTACCAAGATCACCCAATTAGCAGCTTTTTTAAAAGCTATTGCATAGTTCTCTGTTAATGCCTAGCTCGATGCATCCTCACTACCTGCACATTCTTACAGATCTTGAAATGCTAATTAAATACAGCTCCTAGAGTTTAGCCAGCTTAGTAAATAAAGTCAATTTTCCCAATGTCCCATTCTCTTCCTCTCCCTCTCTCTCTTCCCCTTCCCTCTCCTTCTTCTCTCCCCCCTCCCTCTCCTTCTTCTCTTCCCCCTCCCTCTCCTTCTTCTCTTCCCCCTCCCTCTCCTTCTTCTCTTCCCCCTCCCTCTCCTTCTTCTCTTCACCCTCCCTCTTCGTTTCTTTTCCCTCTCCCTCTCACTTCAGGGAGAAGAGCACAGGTCAGAAAAGCACCCCTAAGCATTCCAGATGTTGTTCCTCAGAGGAAGAGGTCAACCCCCATTAACCTGGCCAGCACCATCCGGAGGACTCAGACCCAGAGCTCCGTGTCCCAGCGGCCCTACAGGGACAGGGTGATTCACCTCCTGGCCCTGAGGAGCTACAAGAAACCAGAGTTACTTGCTCGCTTGCATAAAGATGGTGTCAACCAAAAGGACAAGAATTCCCTTGGAATTATTCTTCAGCAGGTGAGATCATGGGGTTTGTGCCAGTATTTTTTCCTTCCTGCTGCTTTTCCCCGTGGTTTTGAAGTGTGCTGCTCTGACCTCTAAATTAGAAAATATTAACTTACTTGATGCATCTTTTTTATTTTTCAAGCGTTTTTTTTCAGTCAGGTGCCCCAAACTGCAAGTCAAGGTGAGCAAAGGAAAGAAAAATTTAAAAAATTTGGGGGAGAGTTTTTGTTTTTGCTAGGATGGCAGGTAATAACTGTTTCTAGCTTTGTTGTTCCTAATGTCTTATTTTTGTCTCTCTCGTTTGTAGTTCTGCTTAACTGAAATAAATTGACTGTGCTTGCTCTGGAAAGCGTGACATAGTTAATCATAGTATTTAATATTTCTTGTGACAAGTTTACAAGGAGAGAACTTTGGTAATCACATAGGTTAGTGTTTGATTTGGAAGTAGCTGGTGGCCTGTAAATAGTTCTTGGCTTCTCTTGGGATCTGTTTGAATTACAATCCTGGGAAAGGGGCCCTGGCCAAGTCACAGATTTAAAAAAGTGGTGGGTCAATGTTGAGCATAGCTTTTCCTTGCTTTCACATGGATTGTGTCTTTATCTTTTTTCTTCTTTTTTTTTCATTCAGTATCTTTTCCAGTGCTCCTTTGTGTTAATTTCCACTTGTATTTCTTTATCCATCAAAATTACTGGTAAGCCTATAATATTATAGGTGAAGCTTTTAACCTGTGTGTTCTAGAGTGCCACATTAATTTCCTATTAGAGCAGTCAGAAAAGGCTTCCCAAAGAATTGTAAGATGCAGTGATTCCTCCCTTTTTAAATACTCCCTGTGGCTCAGTTATGCATGTATTAATATGTAAAGTAGGAATGTTTCCTATTTGTCTAGGAAACAGACTGTTGTGGAACCTATTAAAATGAGTAAAAGTCAATGTTTATACAGATTTGGTTGATCCTAAAGAGAATTAAAAAAGCTGATTGCTTGAACATGTTAAGTATCACTGCTTTGTTTGCCCAGTGGCAAAAAAAGTGGTGGGTTCTTTCACCCTGGAGGCATCCACAGTTTAACAGAAGTTCTTGCACATTAATTGAAGCTGTCAATTCATACTTCAAGTTGATTATAAAATTCCAAAAGCTCAGATACGTGGAGGATAAAAGGTATAAAAAATGTCTCCTATCCATTATGCTTGACCATGTTCAGGGCTTTGTTGGAGGCTGTTTCCTATATGTGACCTCATGGCACTGGTTTGCATTGACAAATTATCACATTAGCAGCACTATGCCCTCAAAAGCCATACTCACACTTTTCTTACCTCATAATGAAAGGCTTTTTTTTTTGTACAAATCTAAAATCAGCAGCTTGACCTTGCTAAGATCCAAGATGTGCAGATTGGCTTCACTTAGAGTACAGCTTTAATTCTGTTTTTTAACAAGTGAATTGCTGTTTCTGGGCACCTTCATTATTTATTTATTTTTAAGTGGGGGACAGACAGACATGCACACAGACATGAATTAGCAGTATTAATCATGTTTTGGAGGAAAATAATAGGCAAAGCTGCAAAACACAATGGTGGGGTTTTGAGTTGTTCATTGTTGTCCACCAGGCAAACTGACACTTTCTGAGGTTTTCTCTGCACGTCTGAATGGGTGTCAGGTGATGAAATCTAAAATAGCCCCTTAGGTGCCAATGGTCTCAAAGGTTTGCCAGCTCAATTGAACTTTTTGAGTAGACTTTGTATTTTTCTTGAAGAAGACAGAAACCCATTTTATTTTCAAAGGTGTGCAGCAAAGCAAGCATACGACCTTCTCCTGACAAGGGTTTGTTGTAATGAACCCCATGTCTGCCAGGCAAGGAGTGCATCTGAGCCTGTTCCCCTCTCCTTAACCATTTTAGCACTAAATCATGTTTTCAAAACATAACTTGTTGGGTATGGGTAACAGTTATTTTTTTTACCCAGTCAGTCATATGGTTTAAAACCAATGGGGTAGATGAATCATCCATCTTTGTATCAAAAAAGAAGCTCAGTGCCAGCTGGGTTATCACAAAACATTGTTGTGGCAGTTTTCTGGTGGCTGAGGCACTTAAGAAAGAAGAGCAGTTCAGTTTATCAGGAGAAATGAGGAGATACTGTGGTGGTTACTGTGATGATGGAAAACATGGATTGTCCCTGGCACAGTCTATGCCCACCATCACAGTGTGGCTGTGTTTTCCTGAGGATGAACAGCTCTGAATTGCTCTGTGGACATGGTGTTCTCCACGTCTCAAGAAAAGAACAGTCAATGGAAACAGAAATGAGGCCCCTCAGCTTATGTCATGCAAGGAGGGTGTGAAGTTTTGGCATCGTTTGCCCTAATTCCCAGTGCTGCATTAATGACAAAAAAACCACCAACCCAAAACAGGTGGTGCAGAGAGAGGTTTTCAGAGAGCACGTTTTCTACAATCAGCAGTTTGGGGTTTTCTTGCGTCCAAATCTTTGCCTCCCAAATTGACCACACACTGCAAAATCAGTGCTCATCCCACGAGAGCTGCTTTGCTCTTCACATCTGAAAACCTGGAGAACTGGTGTGTAATTTTGTTTTCAGCTTTGACTTGGCTTTGCAGTACCAATCTTATTTCTATAGTTTGCATTTAGGTGTAATGAACATTTATTTTCTTAAATGTCTGCCTGTAGGTAGCCAACCTGAACCCAAAGGATAATTGTTACACTCTGAAGGATTATTTATTTAAAGAAATTCAAAAAGATTGGCCTGGATACAATGAAATAGATAAACAGTCATTGGAGTTAATGCTTTCTAGGTAAGTTCAGTTTTTAGGGGAAGGAAAAGAGCCATTTAAATTCTTTTTCTGGGAAATGAATGTCTGACTTCCGTATAATGAAAGAACTATGACATAGACATTTTTGCCTTGTAACCTGAAATGTTGGGTCATCCTTACAGAAAATTAAATTCATCTCAGAATGCCAGCAGCACCAGCCGTTTGGAATGTTCTGTAACTCCTGACAAAGATGCTCTATCAAACACTTCCCAGGTATTTTGTTGTGTTTTGGTTTTGTTTTTTTTACTTTAGTGTGTTAAGATTTATCTCACTTTATATTGGTGTATATAAGAGCTGTGATGAGAAGCACTAGTATTTCAAGTGTCTTTAATACATGAAAAACTGAAGCACTTGTTTCTAATTGGATTATTGTATCTTTTTTTTAAAGATGGTTGCACTGTTGAAGACTGCAAAAAAACTTAGGGCCACATAGCTTAGTCACAGAATGCCAGGTTGGAATGGACCTCCAGGACCATCTGGGCCAATCTCTCTGGGTGCTGCTCTAGTTGACAGGAGGTGGCTCAGCTCCCTGTCAAGCTGAGACTTAAACCTGTCCAGTGTGGGGGAATCCACCACTTTCCCTGGGAGACTGTTCCAATGTCTGATTGTCCTCATGGGGAAAAATTCACCTCTTGTGTCCCATGGGAATCTCCCCAGGAGCAACTTGTGCCCATCACCCCTTGTCTTTTCCGTGTGTCTCCTTGTCAACAGGGAGTCTCCATCTTCTTTGCAGCCACCCTTAAGGGTTTCTAGGTTGAGTGTTCTGTGTTTTAGAATAGTCATTACAATATTCAGAAAAGTAAACAGTATTTTGTAAATGCACCTAGATCTCTGACAGAGACCACCCCTGTGGTGTTTGAACAGCCAACACCTTGGCCTAAACCACAGCTGTCCACCTGTAGCAGATGGTTCTTGCAGAAGAATAAACTTCCCTCTAGAGTCCAAATTAATCTGCTGAACTTCTTGGTCACCCATTATGGTTACACAACCCTGCACTTTCTGGTTGGAGACTTGAAACTGTTTTGTATTGCCACGTAACTTGTTAACCTTGGTGTGTGTAGAAAGGTCTTCCAAAGACGAGATGTGTGCGTATTTTTGTTACATGACTGCATGTGTTCAAGGCTCTTTGTGATGTGGTGGTTGCCATGCATAAAATGTGCCCAGAGGTCCTCGTGCTGCTGCTTAAATACAAAGCTTAGGAAATAAGGACATATTACAGCAGTGATCCACTTGGAGGGTTATTGTTTTCCCTACGGGCATGATTTAACACCCGTTTGGGTTCAGGGTAGCCCAGGTGTGAAAGGCAGATCTGCATCAGCAGGTGCTCCCTCTGCCTTCCCCTGGCCTTTTCAGACAGAAAATGTTGTGTGTCCTGTTTTCCTGTCGATACAAGAGAACAATGCAAACCTCTTTAGAAGAAGCCTGGGGAACTCTGCTTAAAAGGCATCAATTTAAGGAAGAGCTTCACACTTTTTGTAACCAGAGCTGCACTTTGTTGCCTGCAGTGCAGCAAGGTGGAGAGCATGGGAAGCTTTTCACCACTGCAATATTTATGTACAGCAGAGGAGGGAGGGCCATCCTCAGTTTTCCCCTGACCCACCAGTCAGAGCATTAACGGGTGCAGGTCCCAGGGGCCTCTTGGCACCTTCCTCCATGGATGTAGAGTTGGGATTTACTTCCATGGGGTGGCACAGAGCTGTGCCTCTTGCTCGTGGTCCAAGCCGTTGTGTGTTCCTCAGGGTGGGCAGTGTGTGCTTGCTGGAGAGGAGGGTGAACCAACTTCTTGGCTGGACACACAGCTGTAGCAAAACTGGTTGTTTGTTTTTTTTTTACCCATTCTTCCAGCTTTGCACTTCTTTGCACTCTTGGTAAGCACACCACAGCCAGCATCTAGGGGCTGCTTCAGTAAATCATGGGGCCGTGGGACAGTGGAGGCTGAACCCAGAATGTCCAATGTGGGGGAATCTGCCACTCCCTTGGGAGACTATCCCAGTGTTTGATTGTCCTCATGGTGATAGTTTTACCAGTTTCCAGAGGGAAATTGGTACCTGAACAATACTCACCCTCCGCGGGGAAAGTCTTTCCTAGAGCTGCTGGAGGGAAGCCCCCCTCTCCCAAAGCGTTTTACCTGTAGTTTTTAAGAACAACTTGCTAAATTGTAAGATTGGGAGCTAAGAATGGACTCAACCATGTACTGAGCTGCAGTGCTGCCTTGTCTGGCAGCCGTTTTTGTGTGAGAAAGATGTTTCCAACAACTGCCTGTTCAGAAACGCTCCCTTTTTCAGACGCGGGAGCAAGTTCTGCTGGTCTTTAATTTTCTCTTTTCCCAATGATTGCAGAAACGGGTTTTGAATTCTGTTTTCACTGACCCCCTGATGCACAAGAAGCAGAGGATCTATCCCCTGCCCAGCCGGATCCCCCCACTCTTCCGGGGTCACCCCTGTGCCCCCACTGAGACCCTCACTGCCGCCCGCCCGCCGCCTCCCGCACCCTTTCCTGCTTCCAACCCTCCTCAAACTGCCAGCTCCATCTCCCCCAGCACCCCTGAGGGAAGAGGGACACAAGACCTGCCACTGGATGTCTTCAGTCAAAACAGCAGGAGGACCCACGAGGACCAGCAACAAAAAGATACCTCTGAAACCCCTCTGGGGATCCCGGCGCCTGCTTCCCTGCCCGAGAAGCCTCCCAAGTCCGTGGGCCACCAACACCAACAGCCTGAGAAGAGAAAAGAGCATGAGGAGGAGAAAAGCACAGTGCAGGACACTTTGGGTGTGAGCAAGGAGAAAGGCCTTGAAAAAGAAGAAACTGCCAAGCTGAAAAAATCCTCCCAGTTGGATTCAGATGAAGGTATTGTCGGTTGCGCTGCTTTTCCTACCTGTTATGTGGCAACCCTGGTGGAAAGGGGGCAGTAAAACCAGGGGCTGGAAATCCAAATGGTCTTATTTTTCTCACTCGCTGTGTATTAAGTGCCCTTGCCATTGCCCTTATGTCATAGTTGTGAAGTATCTATTTATTTATATATTTTTTTAATCCACCTGTGATACATCCTAACTGTTAGTTTTGAAAAAAACAAACTAATGAACAAAACAGCAACCAAAAAACCCACCTAAACCAGAAGCTGGACTTGATCTGCTGGAACCTTAACTAAATCAGGTTCACTCTTAAGAATTCTCACGTTGTAGTACAAAAATCATTAGAACAAAAGTCATAAATCGATTGCTCTTGGGCAGAAAATGTTGAGGAGGAAAAGACAGGTACTAGAAAAAGAGAAGGGAGGGATTTTTTTGCTTGATTTCCAGTAAGCTAAAACTTTCTGCAGATTTTAAGGTCTAGGTGCTGAAAATAAACACCTGTCACAGTGCTTGCTACATGCAGGTTTACCAGACATTATTGTATTTCTGTGTCACAGCACAAGGTTCACAAAACTCTGCCTTTCCAAGGAAAGTCTAAAACCTACATGAACAGGCCTGTGGTTTGCTCTGTTTTTGGTTTGAACTGTGGCTGTGAGCTCCTCTCCATCTTAGCTGCACGACTTCAGAAGCTGTGGAGATGGCAGACACCTCAAGTGGCATTGACAAGCTAAGCAGAAAGGCACCAAGAACAGGTGATTCCTTGGCCACACAGGAAACAGGGCAGAGCTGAGCTGCTGGGTTAGACGTGTGACATGTCTTGTTTCAGAGGTTTTGCTGGCAAAAGCCCTTTCCTCCCACAGACATCTCTAGAGAGTGCAGGGAGGTGTCCTTGTGGGTTGGTCTTCTCACCTCTACCCTGGGCATACTACACACAGGGCTTGGGATTGCTTTGAAAATGTTAATGCTAGAATTTATAAGCACGTTGAGCATCTTCCTCCAGAAGCCAGAATTCTGAACAGCTGGGGAAGGAAAACTCTCTACCACGTTACAATTTGGTGCTTTCATGGAAGCTTCCAAGTGGACCCAGCCATGCCCACAAATGCACTTGAATTCCAGGAAATAAGATGCCCCCAGCAAAACTGTTCCCATGAGTTGCATTGCACATACTGTGACTGTGAATATTACTGTTTACATGTCTCTCAGATTTTGAATTACCAGTTCTGCACTTTTTTTTTATACTCCTGCTTTATGCCAGGTAATAATTTTAATATTTAAAAGCAAAAGAATCAAGTAGAACTTCACATGGTGACTCTTTCTTTCTGCATAACTTAAAGGTCATATAGCTTAGAGGTTTTCAGGAATGGCTGGTCTTTACCAGAAACTGTGTTTAAACAGTGGCAAAGTAAAATAATAATGAATATAAAGGGTTGTGTGTTTTCTAAGCTTGCCACAAAACCCCAAAGGAAAAAGAGAGAGAGATTACTAAGGTAATGTTTCCTCCTGTTCCAGCTCACTTTTCTTTACAGTGGCTATTTTTCTTATTTATCAAAAAGACAGAGGGCTCTTGAAATATTCCTTTAAAAAGAGGGATTAGAGATTAAGTGTACTGTGCTTTCAGTAATGCCATTTAAAAGAGCAAACATGTAACTCCCAAGCCCAGTATAGCCACATTAATGGAGCAAGGCTTTGTTAGGGGTTATTGGAGCCTGAATGCCAGTAACCCCCATGCAATGCTGTTGACTTCTCAGCTTAGAAGAGCACTGAAATTAAATCTAGCTTTGGATATCCCTAATTGGCAAGGAACAAGGGGTAAGAGCATGGCATGAAAGGAACTTCAGCTTGCAAATCTGACTCTTGCTGGAACCTGAATGTTGAGATAGATACTTTTAAATATATATATGTGTGTGTGTGTACCAGGCTGTCACCTTTTGTGCCACTACATCTGTTGCTGCATAACTTGAATTGCTGTGCAGATGCCACAGTGTGTCTTCAAATCAGAAAAGCTGACCTGGGGTGAATGCTGCAGCAGCAAGGAGCCTGCAGGATAAAGCAGCCGTGCCCTCTTTCTAAACCCCACTGTGGAGAAGGTTGTGTGAGCTCTATTATTCATTTAGAATAACCTGTATAAGTAATCTGCTGTGAGAATGAGACTCTAAAGGATTTTGTCAAGCCTGTCAGGTTGGTATTGTTTGGCTGTTTTAAAAGCCTCCATTTCAAGTGTCAAAATTCTGCTTCTCTGTAGGAGTTAAAGAAACTTGCACTGCCTCCAAAGATCCTCCCTCACCAAGTGATGACTTCTTAATGTGAGTAAAGCAACAAGTAAGAATCTTTTGCCACTCATTGATGCAGTGAAAAAAAAACAACAAACAAACAACACCTAGAAAGACTCTTATTTAGCTACAAAATTGAAAATTCACCAAAATGTAATTTCAGAGTAATGAGAAGTTTCTTTAAATGACTCAGCTGCCCTTATTTCAGTACCTGCAAATTTTAAACTCTGAGGTTGTCCCTGAACTGTTGCAGAGGGAAGGAAGTGCTAGAAAGAATTTGTAATATACTTTAGAAGAAGCTTTACAACAACTAATTTCCTTGTTCTCCAGGAGCACAATAAAAAAGGAATATGTACTGTTTTCAGCTCAGAGGTGAGGTGACACAGGAGGAAAGCTGAAGGCTAAAATACTGAATACTTCCAATTTTGACATCTTTCCTGTGTTTTCTCTGCTTAGTGTGTCTAAGCTGGAGAGCTGGGAAGATGGCAGAAGTCCAGCATTACCAAGCCTATATATGAGTTGACCATCAGCATTATTTTCTAAATCTTTGATGTAAAATGTGCACTGACTAACCCAAAGCTGCAGCAAAATACCCAGTTTCACCATAGAGTTGCAGACCAAAGAGCAGGAGAAAATAGGAAAACCTCAATATTTTAAATTGTAGCTGCTTCTTTGGCTTCCAAGCCTGATGAAAATGTGTTAAAATTGCACGTGAAGTTTTACATTTCTGCAATGACTGGCACATTGTGCTTTGTAGAATTACAGAAGGACTTCCCTGTCAGCTTAATTTTAGCTCCTTAAAAGTTGTCACTCATCAGATTAACATTCCCAAATGATGAAATAAACTTGCTATATAAAAAGTTTTGATCCTTGACAGCTATTAAAGAATTTGCTCTAAAATGGAATCACTCTGATAACAGAATCACTGGGTTGCCTAAATGTTTTTTTTTAATTTCCAAACTTTTCTGTGGGGAAGATTTTTCTTTACTGCTGTGAAACAGAGAAAGAGCTTCTGCAATTGCCCCATGTCTGGGGTTTTTAGCCCTGTTTTACTGGTGGCCTTTAAATTTATTTTTTTTTTAATTTTATTTTATTGTCAAAGTTGAAGGAGGCTGTGGTGGAACAGCTGGAAAGCTATTAGGTTAATCTAATCTGAATGAAATCTCATTTTCTCACCATGAGGACAGTCAGACATTGGAACAGTCTCCCAGGGGAAATGGTGGATTCCCCCACATGGGGCAGGTTTAAGTCTCAGCTTGACAGGGAGCTGAGCCACCTCCTGTCAACTAGAGCAGCACCCAGAGAGGTTGGGCCAGATGGTCCTGGAGGTCCCTCCCAACCTGGCATTCTGTGATTCCAAAATAAACTGCAACACCAACAGTTATTGCTAAAAGTTAATAAATCAACCAAACAACAACAAAAGCCTTCATGCAGAATTTGGTGAAGCTGGTTTAGTTGTGTTTGGGGGTGAAAACTTCCATGAAGAATTAATTGTCTGTGGAAGCCTTGGAGCAAATCTCACAGGTTACCCACTGGCCCTGGTGTCCTGGGGAAAAACTGGGTGGTTCTGTTTCAGAGCCCTGCCTGGTCATGACAGATGGAAATCTGGGAGCCCCTGGCATTTGATGTGGGCTACGGGGCTTTGGTTGTTCATTCCAGCTTCTCTCCCTGTCTCTGAAGGGCATGAGTAGAATCACAGCCTTTGTGTCAAGATACTTTCCATAAAGGTTTTACAAGGGCGTGTAGTGATGGGACAAGGGGTGATGGTTCTAAGCTGGGAGAGGGGAGATTGAGGCTGGACATGAAGAGGAAATTCTGTGGTGTGAGGGTGGGGAGAGCCTGGCCCAGGTTGCCCAGGGAAGCTGTGGCTGCCCCATCCCTGGCAGTGTTGAAGGGCAGCTTGGATGGGGCTTGGAGCAGCCTGGAATGGTGGGAGGTGTCCCTGCCATGCAGGGGTGGCACTGGGTGGGCTTTGGGGTCCCTTCCAAACCAAAACATTCTATTCTATGATTAGGAGAGTAAAGGAACTTCAGCTTTTTAAGCAAAGTTTCAGCAAAACCTAGGAAAACAGAACAGATTCACATTTCTCCCCACTTCTACTCTCATTTCTTTTCTCTCCAGGGACCCACTGGTACAAACTTTCAACTTCTTAGGTTTTACAGCTCATTGAAATTAAGCTAAGGTTAATTTTAAGGTTGGCATGATTTGTCCCCATGTGGGGGTTCTGAAGAGAACCAAGCCTTGAGGCCAGGAGGACCAGAGGAGTGACAGCAGTGGGAACTGGTGTCTGTGGCAGTGCCACTTGGATTTCTGCAGTGAGCTTGTTAAATCCCCTCACCTTGGTGCAAGGGAGAGGGGAGTGAAGCAAGTTCCAACCACATCAGTGGCTTTAAGCACCTGTAGGTTTTCCCCTCCTTAGGAAGGTGGTGTGCTGGGTGTTTCCTGGTTTCAGACCTCCCTGCAGTTTGTTTTTGCTCTCCATGGCAGCTGCCCCAGTGGATGCACAACCCACAGAACTGGTGTCCACTAAAATGATGAAGTTTTAGCACTGACTGCACTTTGGGCATGAATGTACTCAAAGACCTAAGCTGCCTCCAACTCCATCAATGCAGTCCCATCCAGAAATTTAACCAGAATTAATTTCCCACAATAATTATGACTTTATTAACCATTCACAGAGGTTATAATCTAGTAGTTCATCTGTTGATGGGTCTATTGGTCCTTCTGTATTTGAACAATTGCTGATGTTTCCTAAGGTTGCTACAGTTTGGGGTGTTTTTTTTTTGCACAGCTTCTGAATAAAAGCTCTTGAAAGTAAAATATTAGCAAATAACTGTCAAAAAAACAAGAGTAGATTTGTGTCATTAGCTAAATACATTCCCTTGGAGCAAGTATTGCAGAAGCAAAGTCAGTCACAGCCACCCTGACTTGCTGCCTGTGCGTCTACACTTGATGTTGGCACTGAAAGGTCCTTGGTGTGAAACTGCACGTGTCCTGATTTTTCCACCAGAAAATATGTGCCCATCGTGTCCTATGAGCAGCGCCAGAGCTACAAGGATGACTTCAATGCAGAGTATGATGAGTACAGGAGCCTGCACGCCCGGATGGAGAGTGTCACCAGGAGGTTCATGGAGCTGGATGCGCAACGGAAGCTGCTTCCTCCAGGGTCCAAGGAATACCAGGTAAATAAAAAGGGATAAAACTTCTAAGATAGTGTTTCATCAAGTCCACATTCTCAGCACAGGCAGAATCTTCAGTCTGTTTATCTCCTAAATGGTGTTGAGGTGGCTTTTAAAAGGCTCACCAGGTTCTCTGTCTGAGTTCCTGGTCTCATGGTTGGGATTACCAGGCTCAGGCTTTTCACCTGGTGAGGTGATGCTGTCACATGGATCTGGGGACAAGATTGGAAGCATGTGGCCATAATCACAAAGCTTTCCTGTGTTTTCTGTTGTTTCCTCTGATTTTATACACTTGACTAAACCTACAGCCACAACTTGCTCATCTTTCAGGTGTCTGATCCCAGCTCCCATTTTAGCAGAGAAGGGTGTTAACAGCCTGATACTCTGGCTTCCCAGCTGGACTTCTCTGACTTGGGCACACCAATTCCACACCTTCAGTATCATCATTCTTTAGTTTTGTGGACACATCGAGGACCTTTTTTTTTTTGCTTTTATTTAGCTTTATTTGCAGGTGTGTTTGTGAGCAAAAGGAGTGTTTTAAAATCCCTGGTACAGCTGGGTCAGACAAGGGGGAGCCTGACAAAATTTTCATGCCCACTGTGATGTCTGAAGCTTGACAAGGCCTTACAAAAGGTTGTTCAGCCCTCAGACTCCACCTGTTTGAGCTGCACAGCAGCGTGAGGGAATCCTCAAGCATGCTGCTTTTCTTGCCTGTTCAAGTTTTAAGGTTTAAGTGCAGGTCTTGGCTGCTGATGGGGGGCCTGGGGGGCTATTTTTGCCATGCAGGAGAGCGGCACCTCCTGGAAAATTTAAAACACCTTGAGCAGAACCAAATTTCTTTTTAATGTTTTATATAAATCTGCGTTTTCTGGAAGTAAAATATTCTTCATGGTGTTGTTGTGTTTGTTTGTTTCATGGTGGTGTTTTTTTTTTTCTGGAAGATGCTTCATGAGGAAGTCTTGGAAGAGTATCAGAAAGTGAAACAGGTACGTGCAACTCCAGACCTGTGGGAGGTGGTGGTCACTGGCCTTGTCTCCAGGCCACTTTCAAGCCAAGAACGTGAAGAATTAAACTCTGCAGAGATGTTTCCATGCCCTAATTTCCTTTTCATCTTACCTTCACAGTCCACCCCCAACTACTATGAGGAGAAATACAGGTGTGAGTATCTCCACAACAAGCTGTCTCACATTAAGAGGCTGATAGGGGAGTTTGACCAACAGCAAGCAGAGCCATGGCACTAGGCTTCTGCCTGCACCACCACATGTGAATGAACTAAAGCTTATTTATTTAAACTTAACGTTACTTGCTCTAAGGTTCTAAATATCACTATCAGACTTTTGCATTACAGAAGTTTCAGTATTAGCAGACTTAAGTTTTCTACTTTTGTTGCAACGTTGCTTAAACACGTTTGAAGCTGCTTTTTCTGGTCCCTTCTTTTCTTCAAGACTTATGTTTGTCCACTGAAATAATTTTATCAGCAGGTGCTGGGGTACCCAGCAGAACTGTGCACATTTTAAGAAAATATTGTAGCAAACTGAAAAGCTTTTTGGACAAACATAAGGCTGTTCTCTGACCTTTCTTGTTAATTCAAACTCTTTGCCTTAAATGGTAGAAGGTTTAGAAATTTGCACAAAACAAAACAACAAAAACAACAACAAAACCACAACAAACACATTGTTTTGGAGGGTTAAAGAGGGATGTACAACAAGAACTCACCCCTGCAACTTAAACCCCCCATTGCAGTGGTTGCCTTAAGGTGTTTCCTCTTGTGTTTTTAGTGTGGTTAAGTCCTTAGCTGCACTGCTTCCTCCTCTGCTGGAGCACCTGGGAAGCACTACGTGGCCTACCGGTGTCTGGAAGTGTGTGTGTGTGTTCTCTGTGTGTGTGTGCGTGTGTGCAAGGATGTGTGGGTGTGAGCAAACCTGATGGGGATAAAATAAATAAATAAATAAAAACCAAACAGAAATAAAGCTGCTACTCCTAAGAAGGCCAAACGCTCAGGTTAAAAACAACTGACGAGTGTTGCTGTAGGTTTGTTTTTGGTTTTTTTGCTACTTCTGTCGTGGAAGGTGAGAGCGTTTCCATTTCAATAGTTTCGTCAGCTTTAATAATACTGGGGAGATTGAAACTTTGCAGAAATGAAGCATATATAGTTTTGGGGCAAGATTATAAAGGTGAACATGTAGGTAACCTATTTATATACTGCTATAAAGTATTTTTTTGAAGAGAGATATGCAAAGAAGCTATTGCCTACATGAAATATATATTTAAAGACCTTTTTTTTTGTGTGTTTTGGTTTGTTTTTTTTTTTTGGTCCTGGATGCCAGGAATATAACTAAGAACAGATATATTTAACTGTAGAAATACTGTGATCACAAAACAGCACAAAACTTTCATTTCATGCAGTTCTAGGTTTATGTTGATGTGTAAACCGTTGCTCACTTTATCATGTGAAAACGCAGGTTATTTGGTCAAAACTGAGCAAAATCTTTGTGTGTCTTACTGTGTTTGTCTTTTCAAAATGCTGCCGATTGAAAAGGGAAGCATGATGTTTACAATCCTGATTATGGAGCTTTTGCCAAAAATGTGGTAGTATTGCTGATAGATTTTACCTCCAGCATCAAAAACAACAACAAAAAAAAGCAACCAACAAACCCCAAAACCCTAAACCAGCTGTTGCAAATCACTGTAAACCAGAAAATGTTTGACTGCCAGAAAACATCCATTCAGGTAAATGGGAGCAATTGAATTTTTGCCTTAAATTTCTGGACTCAGAAAATGTCACCTTGGTGCAGATGGAGCAGCCAGCACGGTGCACACCCCCCCCTCCTTGCTGCATGGCATCCATCTGTGTGTTAATTGCTTGAGACCAAGGTGCTTCTGGGCCCCTTGGGTGAGCACAGTTGTTCTCAGCTCCAGATTTCCAAAAAGCAGGATGAGGGGAGTGAGTTCAGCCCTGGTGTCAGGGCTGGATGAGCTCCTGGGCACACAAAGCCCTGCCCAGCTCAGGGTGCAGGGGCTGCTCAGCCCTTTTTTTGGGGGGTAGGTTTTCAGCTTTCAGCCTGGGGGGCAAAGTGACCATTTGGACCAAAGTGGTGTGAAATTCCTCTCCAGCTGCTGCTGCAGTAAATGCTCCCCGTGCAATCCCTCTATAATTGGGGCCCAGTGCAGCTAATTAACCTTTACCACTGGCCTGTGGTTGCATCTTCTGGTTTACAGGCTGTGGAGGTGTTGCAGCTGGAGGTGAGTCCTGCTCCAGCACTGCAGGTCAAGTGGACCTGTTTGCCCTGGGTCTTTCTGAAGCCTTGCAAGTAAACCCAAACAGCCTGTGTGTTGCAAAAATAGTGCTGTAACTCCACAGATCTCTTCTTTCCCTGGCACACTACATTCCTGTTCAGCAAAAATAAATAATGAGAGCCTGTTGGAGCAGGGTCTCTAACTGTGTCATTGCCTTTCCTGAAAAACTGGCCTGCTCACTCCAAGAAAACACCTTGGCTGGGGTTATACACTGACTGCAAATCTGAAGCTGATGACTGATTGATGTAGGGAAGGGGCAACTGTGAATCTCACTGCAGTTTGTACCAAACACGTGGCCAAGAAGTGAGGCAATAAGCCCTTTCCAGTTGGCTGAAGAATACTTGGGCTGGGAGGACTTGGTTTCCAGTCTGGCTGGTATTTGAGGGAGAAAAACTGTGCCCAGAGTCAATTTATTATTGTGTTGTGTTTTTTTAATTGTAGATATGCTTCAAACTGTCACTTGGAGCAGGTCACTCAACTGCTTTTAAGTCTTCATTGCACCCTGTCCATTATAAAAAAAATAAAATAAAAAAATAAAAAAAGAGTAATATTCAAATATTTTGGAAGTGTTTTGTAAAACATGTAGACAAGTGTTGGAGGCAAGTTACTTCCAACAGGTTTTAAACATAAAGTTGAGTTCAACTGTTGCTGTTGTAACTTATTTCATTTGTTAGCCTTTTTAAAATAGTGATGTTGTCACAGCCAGTCTTTCTAGGTACCTGAATCTTGAATCATGCAAAGACCAATGGCTACTTTGAAGTCTAGTTCTTTTCCTAAGTTTACTACCATTTGTTTCTGCACCCGACGGGGGAAGGATATGAAATTTATCATGGGAGGAGAGTATTTGGGAACATGAAGGCTTAAAACAGGACTGTGAATCCCCCTTCCTGAGTTTGAGAGTGTTTTATGACTTTTTCCATTGTTTCCATACAAACTGTTTTAAGAACCTGTAGGTGAAACATCCCCGGGGCATTTTGTGAACCAACGCTTGAGCCGTTGTTGCCCCTCTGTTCTACATCAACCTCAGTTCAATAAAGTGTTACCTTTGCAATCCTGAGACTCTGGTCTTTCCTGGTCTGGGGACAGGGGGTTCCTCAGACAGGGGTTAGGGGTGTCCAGAGGGGCCACCCTGCCCTGCTGGTCCCTCGTGGAGCCTGTGGAGTGTTGTGCCAGGGCTGGGACACCAAGGGTGGACCTCAAACCATTGCCAGGGAATGAGGTGGTTTGTTCCCACCTGCTGGAGCAAACAGCTTCAGTTGGGGCTGAGAGCAAAGGCTCTGCTGAGACCCCCCTGCAGGGCTGGGGTCCCCAGCACAGGAGGGACATGGAGCTCCTGGAGAGAGGCCAGAGGAGGCCCCGGAGATGCTGGGAGGGCTGGAGCAGCTCTGGAGCCAGGCTGGGAGAGTTGGGGTGTTGAGCCTGGAGAAGAGAAGGCTCCAGGGAGACCTGAGAGCAGCTTCCAGTGCCTGAAGGGGCTCCAGGAAAGCTGGGGAGGGGCTTGGGACAAGGGCAGGGAGGGATGGGAGCAGGGGGAAGGGTTTGAAACTGAGAGAGAGGAGATTCAGGTGAGATATTAGGAAGAAATTCTTCACTCTCAGGATGGTGAGGAGCTGGGATGGGTTGCCCAGGGAGGTTGTTGATGCCCCATCCCTGGAGGTTTTTAAGGCCAGGTTGGACGAGGTTTGTGTAGCCTGGGCTGGTGGTTCCTGCTCATTGCAGGGGGGTTGGAACTGGGTGATCTTTACTCTTGCAGTGCTGTGGGTAGCAAGCACAGATAAAGCAGACAATTGTGGAGTGGTGCACACAAAGTTGTCCTTTCTAGTGCCTTTCAAGGTCCATTGACAACCAAAACAATGGTGTGGTGTGTGGGAACAATGGCTGTGTTTCGGAGTGGGAGAGCTGTGTGCTCTTCCTGGGAGAACATCTTCCCAGATCACTGGCAGGACTGGGCCACATCTGCATCTGGAAGTGCCTTTCCAGAGCCTGAGGTGCTGCTGGCATCCCAGATCAGCACCCTGGTATGGCTGGGGTGCCCATGTCTCACACTCACAAGTGCCATGTCATAGAATCACAGAATCATAGAATAATGAAGGTGGGAAGGGACCGTAAAGATCACCCAGTTCCAACCCCCCTGCCATGAGCAGGAACCACCAGCCCAGGCTGCACAAACCTCGTCCAACCTGGCCTTAAAAACCTCCAGGGATGGGGCATCAACAACCAACCCATCCCAGCTCCTCACCATCCTGAGAGTGAAGAATTTCTTCCTAATATCTCACCTGAATCTCCTCTCTCTCAGTTTCAAACCCTTCCCCCTGCTCCCATCCCTCCCTGCCCTTGTCCCAAGCCCCTCCCCAGCTTTCCTGGAGCCCCTTCAGGCACTGGAAGCTGCTCTCAGGTCACCCTGGAGCCTTCTCTTCTCCAGGCTCAACACCCCAACTCTCCCAGCCTGGCTCCAGAGCAGAGCTGCTCCAGCCCTCCCAGCATCTCCGGGGCCTCCTCTGGCCTCTCTCCAACAGCTCCATGTCCCTCCTGTGCTGGG